ACTAGATAGTACAGTATTCTTCTATATAAGACCGCCAAGAACCGACGGCAACGATGTAATTGAACTGCAGACGTGAGTCGTTCGTTGTGAATTATATCGTGCCTGTGGAAATTAAGTGTATTGCAAAGTTTTATTCAGAAAGAATAAACCAGTTTTATTTAAGAAAGGACTTGTATCGCTAAAGTTTCTTTGGAAATAATTTTTACGGAAAATTAACTAACGACAGAGACGTAACACTATTTTAGATATTACGACTATAACGCACACATAAGATTAAGAAACTGATTTTTTTTTCTTAGAGCTTTAATATTTTGTGTGTCCACTTAGTTTCAGACACTTATTTAAAAACTATAGCATTAGTGAAAAATTTAGTTACTGTTTGCATGATTTTCGTTATTTCCTTCAGAAATAAATATTTTTGCTTTAGAAAGTCCGGATAAGAACACTGTTCGTGTTTCTTTCATTTTTTTGCATTCTAGCTTATTTAAGTTAGTGTTATGATTTTATTCTTTTTCGGAAACTATTTGAAAGGGCGAAAATGGACAGATGACGCTACTAGCTCTTTTCTTTAGGGTCGTGTGTATAATGCCAATATTTTAACTAATAATAGGTAAACTGATAAAAGTTAAAATTAACTTGTTAGAAGCCTATTTTTAATATAATTCGTAGATAAGTCATCTAATAAAATAGATACTATTACTACACAGGTGATTCATATATCTATGCTACCTTGAATAACATAAATCAACTTTTTAGTTTAAAGTTTAGCTTTTATTTGTAAGAAAGGTAAGCAAAGTTTGACTTCCGATAAGCTATTTCTGTAAAATATATAATTATACACTGTTGTGTACAACTTGTATCTTTATATTGTTAATAAATTAAGTCTTGATGAGATTCGTCTTGGATATGGTCTGAACTCAGCTTGCTTAGTAACAAAGGGAAAAAATTAAGATTCTTTGTCTGATAAACTTAATATTATACTGTATAGCGTGCAGAGTAGTGTTAACATTGCGTAATTTGAAGTGCTTCTAGTTACTATAAATTCGTAACCTTACAATGTTGTCATTGTCGGTACTACTTATATTAGAAGTTATACCACTATTACCATTATTAGATTAGACATTGTTTGTGGGTAAGCTAAACGCAAAAAATAGCATAATAGTTAATACTATTATGAATAGTACTACTACTAGTAGTAATACAAGACAACTTGGGAACAAGGGGACATTTAATGGTTGGAGACGGCTTGAATGGGTAATGAAGGTACCTGATGATGACAAAACCTTGTCGAAACATTGTACATTTGCTGTTATGTTAAACTTGTATTAAAGTTTTTCTTCATTACCCATTCAAGCCGTCTCCAACCATTATTTGTCTCAAAGTGGGTTCCTCGTCATCGAAAGGGGATATTTGATCATTCAACTTGAACTTCAAGTTCAAGGCTGACCTTGTAAGTTGCACACTTGCCCCTGGCCTGAAGAAAAGAAATAAAAGCAAAAGTTTTAAACCCATTACCATTCAGGAATTTAATAGACTTATCTTAAACTCCTGTAACATAATGCATGTGGTTTACCATAATTTAAATTATGCATATAATTTTGATGTGAATAACTGTACTAGTGTTAAGGAAGAAAATGATCTTGGTATTTTGGTTAATCCATCTATTGAGCTATCCAACGTATAAGTACTTAAAGCAGTGTGTATTGTTAGTGGTAGAGCAAATACATAGTTTGTCACTTGATGTTACAAATTTGTACCATTGTACTCATCTTCCTTCTTGAAAATCAAACAACAAGCCTTAGTTGTAATTTAACCTTCTAGCATTTTAGGGGTAAAATATTTGATAAGTATTCACTAATATCAAGATAATCAATTTAAAAAAATGGTTCATATTTATATAGTTTAGTGTTGTCATAATAAGTCAGGTGACATTCTAAACAAGGTTTTTATAGAATTTCAACTGTTACTATTAGGTTACATAAAGGAAAACTAAGGATCTCATTGGATGCAGAAGTGAGGCCTATATATTGGCTACCTCCAGGAAATAGTTCAAACCTTCAACACACAGTAAAGCCTGTGAGCATAATTTTGGAACAGGTAAAAATCCTTTTTTTGTATAAATATAAATGTGGAATTTAACAAGGTCACTACAAAATTATACTTACAGTAGCATGAAACTTTAAAACATTGCATGTGTAAACAACTTGATCAGCTAAAAAACTAAATAGTTTTTTGTTATGGTAATATAAATATTCTACCTTCCTTTGTGAGTATAATAAAGTAGTTGCAGCAGTAGCATTTACAGATACAAAATACACTAAAATAATTGTATATGTATTCATGGTTCTTAAATTAATCCAACAACAAAAAATAAATATAGTACAAAGCACTGAAATGACAATGTTAAACACAATTTGCCTGTCATGGTTGTTTGAAGTTGACCCACAAGTTGGTAATAGCTTGGAAAAACCCCAGATGTCATAACAGTAATGAAAACTATCCATAGAATTTCATGTTGTATCTACAGAAATACTGAATATGAATCTAAAGAGGTTATAATTCCATTTCATAGGTAACTGGTTAGAACTCATTTAGGTTGTCTTCAGAATATTAAAGGAAAGGCTTGATAAATATTAAAATGATTATAGCTGGATTTGATTTTTACTCAAGTGGATAGGACAGCCTTGATGTACCAATAAGCTCCTTGCATATTGTTATCCACTGCCTTGCCTAGATATACTTTCTTTTGTCATGCTATTGAGTGGTTTCCTATCTACATTAAATGTGTGATCCAAGTTATGAAAACGAAAAAACAATAACTTTCACCTACTATAAGTCATTTCCGAAATATTTTTCCAACCTACCAATTGATCCTAGTCATTCTTCAATAATCATTATTCTCAGCACAGCTAGAAATACCTAAGAATTTAATGTCATAAGTAAACTTTACTAATTTACTAATGAAATGTCAATATTAATTAATGTAATAATTTAAATAATGTAAATGTAAAATAATCAGTAATAATTGTAAATGCTAATTTTGATTAATTGATTCATTTATATGATATTAATCATTGCAATCACTGTTCGTACATAATTCATTACATTGATTAAACAGTCAAATTATTCAATTATTAGCAACATAGAATTACATATAATAACATGTTATCATTTGCATATCATTTGCGTATGGATTCATCACTTCAACAAACTTCCCACATTTCTAATACTGAATTCAACCTACCAAAACTGTATAGCGTGCAGAGTAGTGTTAACATTGCGTAATTTGAAGTGCTTCTAGTTACTATAAATTCGTAACCTTACAATGTTGTCATTGTC